ACTTTTACTAAGAGGGGCTGACGCAGACGGATTTAATCTAATTCGGTAAGCAGTGTCATTGTGATTCACAGAACAGGAAACGTTTTCAATTATAAAACGATTAGTCGTCCATTTAGTTTTTTTGTCAAATGGTTTCTGATACTCGAAAGAACCGTATGCAAACTTGTACCCCATCGTTTGGCAAATGTAGTCCACCAGACAGAATTTATCGAGTCGGTCAAGACCATCAAATGAGACGAGTCCTGAGTTATTGCCAATCTGAACGGATAATAAACCAAATCCATTCGTTACTTGTGCTCCCTTACTGTTAACCAAGTAGAATGTTTCTTTACCTGAGTGAATATTTTTGGATGATGATTAATCACTCTACACTCGACTGTCACGTGACTTTTTCAACCCGTTCTTTAGCTGGTCCTGAACAACTATTCGAAACCCTAACCCTCTTAATCTTATCTGATCCCAACCCTAACCCTAACCCAAACCTTAACAAAAGCATATGCTGAAACCCTAACAGTAACCCTAACGAGAAATTAGACTAACTTCCTTATACGGTCATATCACGTGATCGAGACAGTTTTTTCGCCTATACCTCGTCAGGGGAGCATTTTAACCCTATGTCATGGGGGGTGATTCGGAATCAGCTTCCGAAAATACATCTACAATTTCAGTTACATAAATTTCGCAATTTTTATATAAAAAAACGCAAAATAATCAATAATAACATTTGGTTCTCAAAACTCATGTAACATAATCAGCATCAAAGGAGAAAGACGAAGAGGGAAAAATAAAGTATAGGTATTAATCAAGCTTCTATTTCTAAATGCTTAAGTATTTTGGCACGGACATAAATCAACGAAAAAGATATAGATATGGCACATTATATAATAGTAATACTTACATTTAGAAAGAAAAGGTAAACTTGGTAGAAGCACCAGCAGCAACCAATTCATGATTCAATAAATTTCTAAAACTCGCCTGGTTTCAAAGACCGACATAATGCTTCTTTAAATAATGGGCAGATGCATGAAAAATTAACACACATCCACTTAAATATTCCCATTGTATTCACGTCTAGCCATGAGTCTACGCGTACTGTGTGACGCGCTTGTTTCGCTACTGCAAGCGCCATGCACGCGAGACGGCTCTGGATAGTGCACAACCATTGTATAACGTCCATTGTTCACACTTGTAATTGTTGTCTGAATCTGTACGAAAAGTATAATATCACACTCTTTTTGAATCTCATCTCGGTTAATATAAGGTGCAATTGTATGGGGGGGCTGATCAATTAATACAATGCTCTCACCTGCACGACTGTTTCTTGCACAGAAGAAATAATGGGCGGATGCATGCAAAATTGACACACATCCACTTAAATATTCTTATTGTATAACGTCCATTGTTCACACTTGTAATTGTTGTCTGAATCTGTACGAATAAATATATCACACTCTCTTTGCAGTTTGCATCGAATCTCATCTAGGAACAAAATACATTTAATTTTTATTGCGAAACATTTTTTTTTTAAATCAATAAACTAGACATTTGCCATATATATAGAAAACACCTTAGATCATTACTGAACATTTATTGGCCTCATAGAACAATATCGAATGCAAACTTATACCTAAGATGTAACTCAGTAAAGTTATCAGATCGTGTCCCTATATAAAGCAAGGCGGAAGCTCCTAGGTCATATTTTGCGTAGTGCTGATGACTCCCCCGCTGCATTAGCGTTAAAATTTGCTGTCACAACAAACTGTAAAGGGCGCATCGTAAGAATTTGTTCAAGATTATTGTGAATGATTTGACCCGTAGAGGTTTAAAACTTAACTCTTTGAATGATCTTAATAAGCTTAAGATATCAGCCGATGATAAAGTTGCTTGGAGAAACAAATTTTTACTTTAGCTGTTTTGATCTGTACTGATCACCATTTTAGGATGACTTGATTTCTTTTAGGGGTTTTGAATATTTTAATGGTGTAAACAGTTTCTTAATAATAATAAACTTTCAATTATTTTTACACAATGCATTATTTTTTTACAAAACAAATTCGCCAAATGACCTTACATGCCTTAACAAGTGACCAAGTGTAAACAAAATTAGGTACACCGAAACACATATTAGTATTATATTTAACGGGTGATACTCGTAAAATATCTGTTCTATATACCATATTCTGTCGACGAGTCCAACTTGGCGCTTTTATGTTTTTAAGTTTACAACCTACCAGGACGCGCGCCGAGTTGGACTCGTCAATATATGGAACAGATATTTTACGAGTATCACTCGTTAATTGTATTAGGCGGTGCACGATAAAAATAAACTTGCTCGGATTTTCAAAAGTTTTGTACCATCGTTTTCTAGAGACTGTGAGAATTTTCACAGTACCAAATTTATTATACCTTTTTGGAATGATCAGTGAGTTTCGCCTAGGTGCCATATTTGATGGTGCGCTGCTTTTGGAGCAAAATTAGGTGTAAAAGTCGCGTAATTTGACGAAATTCGTTGATTTTTGTCGTATTATTCTGTCATATCTTTGGTTCCTGAACATGAATCATGCTGAAAATTTGTCAGAACCTTTCAATCATACTTAACTACCGAACCTAATTTAGTTGGGAGAGATTGGCCTTGATTAAGAGGTCTAAAAATGACAAAATAGGTATAAATTCGTTGATAACTCAAATTCTGACCTGCTGACCATCGAAATTACTCAAACTAAATTAGGTTCAGTAAAATATAAGTGTTTACGTAAGCTGACCAAATTTCAACAAAGATGTTATATGGGACTAGTATTATAACTTTTCGATTGTTTCCAAAATAATGTGCTGGCCGAAATAAGAGCTAAAAAACCATTCAATGGTCAGCGCGTGCGTCTTATTGTCGATGGCGCACTGCCTAATTGTATGTTTACAACCTACCAGGACGCGCGCCGAGTTGAACTCGTCGACGGTCCAATATATGGAACAGATATTTTACGAGTATCACCCGTGAACGCGCGCCGGGCCAGACCATTAACAATAGTTAATGTGCATGGAGAGAGCCTTGTGTCAATCGCAATCTTGAGGAATTCTGTTAGGTGTTAAATTCTTTGTTTGACATTACTGATTGCAGTGCTAACCCTCTTCCAACCGTCAGTATCACCAAACTCACATCCCTGACGTTACATGATGCTCTAACCATTAACATGACAGAGCTAGCCCTCGCGCCTGCAGTTAAAGCGCGCGCCGCGCGTCACGTAGTAGTAGCTTAGTACTACTACGTACTACTACTAGTAGTAGTACGCGAAGACTCGTGGTTATCTGAAGACGTTACATGCAAACGTTCCCTAGAATCCAATATGTCTCTTCAGATGAATTAATTTACACTCGACTCGAATGTATTCGCCAATCGCTATTTATGATCACTATCAATTAGGTTGATTCACGATGTCAATCCTTCGCATCTCGCCGATCTGCATACGTGTGGTTGCGAAAAGCATTATTGGATGCGCGCGCGGCCCAGTAGTGCATCGCGCTACAATCAAATTCAATATCTAATTTAACTACTTTATCGGACTATTTAATTAATTAATTAATTTACCTGGCAAGCCAGTCCCTGTGTGCGGCGTTCTTTTCAAGCTTTCTGAACAAGAGATGAGCGAGCGCCGAGCAATAGACTAGCAAGCTAGGTATAATCGCGGACTATCTGAAGGGATATTAAAATAAGAGAGGAATATTTATAACACGTGATTTGTCTCTCTCCAGAAATTAAAGTGAATAGCCAAGCCTTGTCTTTTAGTGCCTTGTAACCGGCTTGACGTGCCCTTGTATCACTAGTATATAGTATAGTAAACAAACTCCTTTTATTTGCAGTTTTGCGCATGGGCTCTGGTTAGACTTATAGCAAACTGTTTTTTGAATCTATGATCTAGAAGAAGTGAAAAATAAAAACTCAATTTTTCGACCAAATAACATTCTGAATTGAGGAAGTACAAAAGACAAATAAAGTCGGACAAAAACCGACCAGTCATAAACATGATATAATATCTACTCCCCCGCCGCGCAATCCACCACTTTTATTTAAAATCATACAGGGACTGGTAAATATTGGTAACCACTGGTAACCAAAACTGTAATTACAAATTACACCTACATATTCCCACATAACACGAAATTAGAACTTTCAGGACCTGAGTATTCAATTTAACATTACAATTATTCGTCAAACTAAGTGGGTCAACCCATCTGTCTCTGAGGTAAAGAAAGTTACATTTAGTTTTAATTAATCTGATAATTGAATTAAACTGTTATTTTGAACTTTTAACATGGAGTCTTACTGCTTGCAAAAGTGTTCAGATCAGAATTAATGATAATTAATGTCATATTTAGAATTTTATTTAAAATTTAGAATTTTTGAATATATTAGACAGATTAGGGTTGTTCCATTTTGTTCCTTCTTGTTAGGTAAACTGTCACTGAAATAAAAACATCGGTCATGAAATAAAGTGGCATATCTAAAAGACAAACGCAACATACTATCGAGACCAGTCGAAAATGCACATAAGTAAATTAATTAGATAATTATGAAATCAATTGGCTCATTAAGAAACTAGGACTCAAAAATCTACCAACTTAAAACGGCTTACATCGTCCTGCCTGATATTTTGTTCACTACAATGTTAAAATTAATCCTAGCCCTAAACCTTTAACCCAAGTCCTAACCAAGCCCCCAATTGCTACCTATTCCCAAACCCCCCTCCCCACCTATCAAAATCAGATAATTAAAACTCAACGCCACAAAGTGATGGTAATCACCAACCGAAACAACACAGAAACTGGCAGGAAAATTTGAAGGATAGGCAAATTTATCGTGGCTTAATATCAGGAAAATAACTGAATTTTAAATTGAATCCAACGCAAAATCTGGGTAACTCTTTCTCTCTTCTTCACTCGTTACCGTATTTTTCTGTATAAAAACGTAGTTTTAAAACTTTTTTTAAACTTTTCTTTTTCTGTTTCATTAATCACAATAAATGTTTGTCTTGATGAACCCCTTCATTTCCACAAAGTTTAAGAGATCGATAATGTTAAAAGTGCACAACCTACAACTCAATTCGTTATTAAATTATTTGATGAAAGAGCAAAATTTTCTGTGAATTTAAGAGAAGGGGTTCTCAAAGACGTATGATAAAAATAGCTCATAAATAGAATAGCATAGTATTAATCAATTAATTAATCTTATTAATTAATTAATTAATAACATAGTATTAATGATGATAATTATATATTTCGACGAGCTGGTTATACTTATAACTATTTAATAGTCACAAAACCAATATCAACGTAACACAGTTCAATATGTAAGTAACCATAGCAACACTGTTTATATCAAATCTAGAACAACTGGCTATTTTCGGTAGTTGATCTGATACTTTTGATGGAGCTGGTGGTTTAAAGTTTAATCACCAACAAGAACATATATATTTTTCTAACTGAGGAAATGTATATGCGACTCTACCAAAAATAAGCAATCTATTCTATGGACGTCAACCTCGCGAATTGCAAACCTAATATTAAATATCTGTAAACTTGTCCGGTACAGTCCACTCTCTGCTGCACGTGCAAGATTTAACGCTGCACGTGCACGATTTAACGCTGCACGTGCACGATCTAATGCTGAAAGTGCACGATTTAACGCTAAACGTGCATGACGTAACGTTAAAAGTGCACGATGTTACACTAAAAGTGCACGATGTAACGCTGCTCGTGTAACACTAAAAGTGCACGGTGTAACGCTACACGTGCACTATGTAACATTGCACTCGCACCTTGACCTCTGACTACTAGTGACCAGTAAGCCAGTGTCCCACCCTCACGAGAAACACTGGTTATCTGGCCGCTTGCGCACTTCCTCGTTGCTATGCACGTTGCTATGCACGTTCTCCGAGTCACGTGTACCATCACGTGACGTTTCCGTATCAGAACGCTGCTTTTTGGCTGGTTCCTGTGAGGCGTGCACTTCGCTCAACCGCTTCTCTCCCCGCTCTGGAAGTACTGTACTGCTCGTGTTTACACTCCTGAAATAGGCGGTAAGTCACGCGTCATCAAGAGAAACGTAACGTCCTCGTCATTAAGTATAGCGTGTCGTCATCGCATATATATATATAAGTCATCAAGCATAAAGTTATGTAAGGTATGTAAGGTATGTAAGGTATGTAAGGTATGTAAGGTATGTAAGGTATGTACTTAGGTATGTAAGGTATTACATACCTTTTATAAAAGGTATGTAAGGTATGATGGGTAATCTCACTTGATGCTGTCGTTAAAAGATGAGCCCATTGTGTTATTAGATCCGTCCAACAAAGATAAACTACTCTTCTTATTCCGTTTTCTCCCTGGGAAGAGTTGGTTACACTACTGATATAAGCCGGCTATTATCCGGTTATTAACCAGCTATTAACAGGCAATCGTAGGCTATTAACCGGCCTTCAACCAAGTTAAGGCTACTAATTACAAAGAATATCTCACAATAATTTGGTTGAAAAAGCATTTGAAATTGTACAATTAATTAAGCGCTATTAATTACTAATTATTAATTACCCTGTTTTAATATGGCAGGTGAGATGTACTCCGAGAGTTGCCTTTTCTTAACGTGTTGCGCTTTTACTTGCATAGACTCCGTTACTTTTGAATTATTAGTAGCAACCTGAGATAACCTGGTTTCAATTTTAAAATAGGTGAAGGGGTTTTGACTCGGTGTAATTGAAAATCTTTCAAATGGAAAGCAAAATTGCCTGATTTGAAACTTGTAAAGTTATAACGTATCATAAAATGTGAATGTCGTATGTCGCGCTACGTAACCGGAGGCTTATTTTAGCATGCCGCCATAGCACGCCGCCATAGCATGCCGCCATCGGCCATAGCACGCCGCCATAGCATGCCGCCATAGCACGCCACCATAACATGCCGCCATAGCATGCCGCCATCGGCCATAGCATGCCGCCATAGCATGCCGCCATCGGCCATAGCATGCCGCCATAGCACGCCACCATAGCATGCCGCTATAGCACGCCACCATTACCTGATAAACAACGCTGACAAAACGCTGGATCGGCTCAGTCAGGTCTAGGGCGATTGGCTGGGTCGAATCAGTCGGTCTCGCTATACTCAGTCCAATTAACCACTGGGAGATAATTGGGAAATAATTGGGAGATAATTGGGTGTAGAGATTTTAGCATGATGGGAGAATCATATCATATTGTCAGTTGCAAGGGTTGTTGAGAAGGGAGAATAGGAAGATGGTAACTCTCTCTCTAATACCACAGGGTTGTATTAACTTGTAACTATTGTAAAAATTAATTAATTAAACAATAGATTTATCTTAATTCCAGTTTATTTTTATTTGTTGATCATAAAAACAATCTATTATTTAGAATAAATATTAATAGATAGGAATGTGATTCAAACAGTCTGTCCACTTGTTTTCAAATGGTTCACCAGTGTAATGTAAACTTGTTGCTATGGTGATTGTCGTATTTAATTTAATCAATTAATAACCTGTGTAGTAAATGGGTAGAGCTCCTTATCCACGTGAGTGTAGCCAGTGGGGTTAATGTGGGCAGACTCAATGTATTGGCATCGCTCCAAATTCCCTACCAGGATCCTTATCTTAGACTCCACTAAACCGATCCACTCGAGATGCTCTGAAGTGAAAATATAGTGAAATATAGTGAAATATAGTGAAATATAGTGACGGAAATATAACCTTGTTTCTTAGATAAGCGCTGATGTTGTGTAAAACTGAGGCTGCATTACAAAAAATCAATCTACATTTTTGATATTATCTTTATAAAGAATCGTTCAATTCACATCAATCTTTTTATTGAAATGTGACAAGGGTAGTAAACAATGAAGTTATTTAGTTACTATTATGTAATTATTTAAATACCTTTATTGTCAGCACCCATAGCTTGTATGATAATGTAGTGCTTGTATCTGTGGAAGAAGTCTGAGGGTTCGAAGAGGGAATTCCAGTCGGTTTTACCAGAAAATACGTCCTCGCAGACACCTAAACCTGGAGAGACAGATAGAGTTATTAACTAATTAATTAATATAATAAATAATCAACTTACTGATTGACTAATATAGATAAGCATCATATCCAGAAACCCATAAGACTTCCGAAAAGGGATAAAATTATTGATAACGGTAAACAATTTGAATAGTACAGCTTTTTGGATTTTGTGTCATAACTTTAAGCATGATTGTGACATGGTGAGTTTTGTATTCACACCACTTCATGGTAAATTAAAGTAGAATATGAGGAAAATGTTCATTCCTCGGAAGAAAACTTGACACTGTTATCAGTAGTAGAGCATGTTTTATCGCCCTTGTTTAATGCGTACAGTTAGGTGGAAATGGAGCTCAGATTTCGACTTTTAACTTTACAGAAATACTAAGTTAGTATGGTTGATTTTTTGCATGTAAAATATTTTGGTTCTCCAAAAGTTGTAACATCATTTAACTTAAATTTCCACTCTGGATCACACCGATGTTTCACTTTCTTATTTTAAGACTGTCCAGTATATTTTAGTTAACAATTCTCTATTCAATTAAAATGAGATAACTCAAAGTTTTAAGTTTATAAAGTGTAGTGTAGTGTAGTGTAGTGTAGTGTAGTGTAGTGTAGTGTAGTGTAGTGTAGTGTAGTGTAGTGTAGTGTAGTGTAGTGTAGTGTAGTGTAGTGTTTAAACTTTGTGAGTTAATACAGTGCTCTATATGTTGGAAATATATATTATTACAAAATTAAGCTGATTCTAATATAAATATTGTACTTTTCTAAAACATGTAATAAAACATTGATAAATTAACTATAACATTATTATTGTAACTCTGTAGAGGAAGTCATGACAGCGCGGATAAAGAACTTCGACACAGACTTCACAAGGTTACTACACACTACCACACGTCACACTGTTAAGATAATAACAAACACAGGAACACTCAATGTAAGCGGAGCTCTCATATCTCAACACAGTCAAGTTTTTGAGAGAATGTTCCAGAAGGGTAATTGTAATGAGGAGGAGTTGCTGCTGGATAACTACGAGTTTGTTGAGGAATGTTTGATAATTCTACATGGTGGCAGTGTGGTGCTCACTAGAGAGAATTGTGAGGAAATAATAAAGTTTGGGATCCAGTTCGAACTGAGAGATTTGATAGAGCAAGGACTGGAATATCTAGCAGATAACATCGATGAGGATAGTTTGAAGGACACTGCGAAGGTTTGCAACAATGTTAGCAAGTTTGCTGAATCGTTTTGTTCCGACAATGATGTAGATTTCGTTTGGCCGCTTGAAAGTATCGTGAACAAACTTTCAGCGGAAACACTTGATGAATTTGTGGCTGACATGAACACAACTGTGGGTACCAAAGCAATCCTGGACATGATGAAGAATAGGAGTCTAGCCAAGAAGCTTATAAATTGTTTTGTTTTGTTGATAGATCAATCAAATATAGACGAAATCTTAGCACCATTTCAACAGTACGAAAGTTATGAAATATACGCCGAAGCTTTTGCAGACTGCCAACAAGACGAAATGTCGTCTTTCTTCGGGAAAATCAAAGACCTAAATCTACGTAAAGAACAGCTGAAAATTGTCCAAAATCTGAAGAAATGCACATTACAAGAATCAGAAACAAACAAATTACATAACATCAGGCCAGACGAGAAGGATATACTAACGTCATGGAAGAGTTTTAATGAAGACATGATCAAACAATTCTGCGATTTCTCCGAAACAAATTACTACATTATGGAGGTTCTCATGTCATGGGTTTCACACAATGAACCAAACTCGCGGACAGTTCGCCAGCTCTGCGGTCTTCTGGACACTTTTGAGCTAGAAAAAGAGTATCTCGAGCACGTGACAGAGGTATTTAAGGCTGCGGGACACGTGATCTTATTCGACCTGGACAATTGTAAGTGTCGCAGTACCAATCAACATGTGCTCAGTCTCACGCAGTCCTATCTGAACAATGACGTTATCAGCAGGACTTTAACTGGTAACTGGATCACCACTAACTGGTTCACCACTGCCAGTCAATACCGCATGACAATCAGTGAGGCAGGAATGGTGTGGGACACAAAGTATTTGGCATTTGATTTTGTGTACGGTAGGACTGTAGAGGGTAAGCAAATACCTTTCTATACAGATGTTCAGGCTGCGATTAACACAGGTACTGTGTATGATGTTAGCACGTTAAAAGGTTTTAAAAACTAGTACCGTCCTTTGTTAAAGTGAACGGTTGCTGCCAATTGTTTGAGAGCAAAAATCTGAAGTTAAAGAGAATATTACAGATTAAAAGTTCTTAGTAGAGGCTTGGTTAACGGTTTACTATTATATATAGTTAGTAATATATTTTATAGTTCATGATACACTTGAACGGGGTTCTTTCAAGCAGTTGGTCATTACTCTTCAGCATTTGTAAAATTATTTCCAACAACAAAGTTCAACCTGAGCATGATTTATACAGTAAACTGAGGTGCCCAAAATTCCATTGTGCTCAAGTATTGTGATTTCTTTTAACACCGACACGTTTTTGTTTTGTGTGATCCTTTTTATCCGTTGTTGTATTTTTTTCTATAAAATTTTATTTACGTTACCAAAAACCTTGATAGCTGATTTATCTCGACGTTATACCATCGCAGAATTGACTGGAAGGGGGTTCTTAAAACATATAAATTTTTACGAGGTTTCGTAGTAACAGAAGCTCCAAACACGTGTCGTTTTAAACTTACCTATTTTGAACTCCTGAGCCATAACGTTTTTAGTGCTGATGGTTACGTTGAAGGTAGAGTTTTGTTGAGGGAAAGTGGGCGTTAGAATGGGCATGAGGTGAGCCCTGAAAATAAATTGTTAATTTTACTGAAAATAAAGTGTTTATTTTACTGAAAATAAAGTGTTTATTTTACTGAAAATAAAGTGTTGATTTTACTGAAAATAAAGTGTTTATTTTACTGAAAATAAAGTGTTTATTTTACTGAAAATAAAGTGTTGATTTTACTGAAAATAAAGTGTTTATTTTACTGAAAATAAAGTGTTTATTTTACTGAAAATAAAGTGTTTATTTTACTGAAATAATTAAAATGTGTAGAAACCTAGTATTTAAATAGATCTACATAAAAAGTGAAGCAAATTTGTTTTGTAGCAGATATTTATCAGTAAGCTTACACGTGCAACCGATTACGTGTCTAAACAATTAGCTGTCACGTGTTTAGCATCTGACCTATCAGAAGGGTTGTTTCTGGAGTCCCAAACAGGGAAAGGGAGGTTAGCAGAGGGTATGTCTTCAGGGTGTCGCAACATCACCGGGGTAGGCCACTTCCTGAAAGGAGTCAAAGATAATAACTTGGAAGGTGGCAACTAACCTGTCGAATTAGACTATTTTTAGACTGAGTTAAAATAAAAGTGAGAATCATTTTTTCTTTCAAAACTATTCTCTTACACAAGTAGACAACAGACCATTGGTCGAAAACGAGGAAGAATTTCTGAACTAAAGTGGCAGGCGCGGCTTTTGGATACAACTGGCAGACTCTAGCCATTAGGATAGCCCAGGAAACGCCACCAAGAAACCCGAGACTGTTACTGTATGTTCCTCTTCCTGAGATAATATTTAATACGCTTTGTAGAATTTCATTTTGCCGCAATAAGATAGCATAGTCTGAGTGAAATGAAATATTATTGTTGCAAATGTTTCGGTTCTAATTTGGTTCAGGGTTATCTGTTTTAAGGTAATCAAATTGGCGACTTACAAGTAGACTTACTTATACAGCTTACAAAAATTGGAAAATGAAAACCTACGTTTGGCCCAAAGTTTAATGGCTCTCAAAGCTAGTCTGAAACTCTCAGCTTTAGGCACTAATGTCAAGATATCCTCAGTCACTCTGCAACCATTCAAACTCTTGACACATCTGAAAATAAATAAAAATTATTATCATCGCTGATTGAAGGGTTATTATTGATTAAATAGGGTTGATTGTATCTTGATTGCTCGTGTTACAGGCTTAAAGTTCCTTTTAAAAATAACGAAACGTTTTTTCCATAATTGCAGCAAAATTAACATTTTGGAAACTATAGTCATCATAAACATTAAACATCAATTCAAGGCTATATTTAGCTTTTAACATGATAAGGTATTACAAGGATACAATACAACCTCCGGCCACCATACACCATGATAAAACTAAATCTTACTTGTAATCCAGGTTTTGAAGCAGGTTTATGTCTCCTAACGTAAGGTTATCCGGTATCGACTGAAGTGCTAGTCTTGCAAACAGCAGATCAATCTACAAAGGGGGACGGCTTAACAATGCACAAACTGCACAATACACATTTAGTTGTAATATATCGGTAACATACTTATGATGGTTGGAATAAGATATTTTGTGGTGAGATTTTTGAGACAAAATACAACTTATTTTCGAGTAAATTACCTCAATTCCTTTGAAGTGGAATTTCATGACTGGCACGTACGCTTCCTCGATAGCCTAGTAAATATTCCTGTTAACATTGTGATTGGATTACAGCATAAGAAAATCGCTTGCTTTAAAGTTGATGTAAATTTTTCTTTTGGAATGTTCAAAATAGCCCAGTAAAGTTAAAAATAATATATTTACTCGTAGGTCAGTAACATTTGGATGACCCTGCAATACTTCAAAGAATGTTGAAAAGAAATCAACTCGGTCGATGTGGCGTGGTGCAACAAGCAGTGTATCTATATCGGCTCCTGAGTAAAACTCGTCAGTAAAATACCTAAATTGGCAAAAATCGCACTTATCTGCAATAAATAATAGCGGGAATTTAATGAGGTCATTATTGTAACTTTCAGACAAATAAATCGGTCCGTGCGCGCGCCTAATTGGTTGAAAATAGGCTGTATTGTCAACTTTTATACAAAGTTGTCAGCGCGCGTCACAAAAGTAATAAGTTTTTGTTGCGTCCGTCCGAAATTAATGCACACTGAAAATATGTCCAACTTAATGATAAGCAATGATCTTGATTAGATATCATGATTGTAAGCATAATAAAATACAAGACGTCATCTTCAGTTTTACCTCGAGTGTGAACTCCTAATCTGTATGAACCAAATGTAAAAATCTTTCCACCGACTTGCTCAGCGATTCCCCTGGATATATTCTGAAAATTTTGTGATAATGTTTTGTTTGACATTGATTTCCTGACATACATTTGATTCCACCTGTTACTGATATGAAAACCGAATAATCTGTTAAATTTATAAAAGTTGAGCTAATTTTCATTATCTGAATCTCAACCAATAGAAGGTACATATTAAGGAGTAACAAAGAAACAAGAACGATTATACAAATTTCGGTTCTTTTGCGATAGTCAAAACGCGACAACTAGCGCTGGATGGCGACAACTAGCGCTGGATAGCGCTAGTTGTCGCCATCCAGCGCTAGTTGTCGCGTTTTGACTATCGCAAAAGAACCCAAATTTCTTCTTTGTCTTCTTTTCGGCTAAATGGTCCCATCTGATTGTTAACTTAATTTACACTAATATATAATAATAACTTACTCTCTGGATGCTAAGATCAATAATCCATTGCTTAGCCAAAGCATTTAGTTGCTGTAAAACATTTATACGTTCGTTTAGTTCGTTCTCTGGCTCGAATATGTCAAACTTTCGTAGAACATCTTCAAGATCGTTACTGAGCTTTATATCCTGAACACAAAATAGCTTATTTTAAAATAGCTAATTTCAAGATCTATTAATTTTGGTAAACAAGTGTAAGTGTTCTGACTTTTAACGCTATTAAATCGATCTTACAATAGGATTACTAAAGGTAGGGGTTTAACTCTATTTAGTCAACTTAATGAGAAAACTTACAGACTTTATTTAATTAACTTTACCAACAAATGAAAGGTTTCGATTTCAACCTTTTATAATCAACTTAACGTAAATAGAAATTGGGTAATTATTAATTACTTACCAAAGGTTTAGGTTCGGCAGTGCTGATAGCCGAGGTAACTCCTAGAGTCTTTGGGCCGCTGTAATTGTACATTATACATTTTACATGGTACATTATAATTATACATATACATTATACATTGTAACAATAATAAAAGAGGAGGTTTGTTTTGACACGTGACATCAATTAACCAATCACTGCTTTGGAAAGAACGTCTGTCAAATATCAAAACAAATATGGTTCTCCACAAGTATCCAGATTTATTTATACTTGCTACATCAATATTCATAACACCTATGCACTGTAACATGATATAATGATACATTTTTAGGATGTCAATTGACAAATTCTGGCAGTGAAATTTGTACAGCAGATGATATGATAATCTAGCCACAAATCTAGCCAGAAGAATAAACCAGAAATTTGAAATTGTTCCTACCTTGTCATTCTCTCTTACATAACATGCACTGGAATGGGAGGAATGTTAGTAATAAATAAATAAATAAATAAATTCTAACATTTATTACACGCTTCGACATTAAAATATACCCAACAAAGATGTACATTAAAGTCATTCAAGCGAGACTTAGTGTTGAAATAGCAAGATTATGGACTTTTTAAACAGTTCAGAATTTATGAACAAATATTTGTATGAAGTTACTAAAATTATGCACTTTCATATCAGTTCAGACATTATGGACAAATATTAGAAATATTATCAAAAGCTAGTTGGAAATAAAACGTCTTTAGGGCATTTTTAAAACATTCTACAGATGATAATGATCTCACTGAGTAGGGTAGTTCATTCCAAATTTTTGGTCCACAAAACATAAATGCAGCATCTGTTCGTCTGAAATGAGGAGCAGGAGGAACTTTCAACAAATAAAAGTCATCATCTAGTCTGGAACTTTGTCTTCGTACTTCCCTTAGATTGACGTGTCCTTGTAAGTACTGAGGGACTATGTTATTAAGACACTTGAAGACCAGAAGTGATATTTTGAACTTAATTCTGAACCGAACAGGCAGAAAGTGGAGCTTTTTGAGGTAAGGCATGATAGGTTCACGTATCTTTTTTCCGTAAAGACCAAAGATAAATCTAGCAGCATTGTTCTGTATCTTTTGTAGCTTATGAAGATTCTTTTCTGTTATACCATAATAGACTGAGTTGCAGTAGTCTATGAAACAGAGAATATTGGAGTGAACTAACTGAACTTTTAGTTCATGGGAAAGCTTTGAACCGATTCTTGATAAGTCCCTTTGATTCAAATAACATACTTTGGACACAGCATTTATTTGAGAGTCCAGATTCATTTGGTGATCGAAAAGGAATCCCAGGTTCTTGGCCTTGCTAACAGGGCAGATTGAGAGGTCTCCTAAATCCATTGTCTGGATTGGGCTGACATATGGTCCTATATCAATGAACTCTGTTTTTTCATCATTCAGTTTTAGGAAGTTAACTGTCATCCATTGCTTTATCTCCAGAAAGCAATTTTTCACAGCTGTTAAATCAGGATTAGAACTGTGAACATCAAAAGTAAAGTACACCTGTGTGTCATCTGCATACAAATGTATCGAGAAACCATATTTTGTGACAATTTCTTCAAGATCTCTGGTATACAATATGAACAGTAGTGGTCCTAAAATGGATCCTTGAGGTACACCAATATCCAGATAGCCTTCAGAAGATGTGGCTTTTTTTACTTTAACCTTGAATGTGCGATTATTAAGGTAACATTGTAACCAGCTGAGTGCTAGTTCTGTAATACCATACGCATTCTTGAGTTTCGTAAGAAGGAGGTTATGGTTTATGGTGTCGAAAGCAGCTGATAGATCTAAGAGTAGAAGCACAACATTCGATTTGCTGTCAATCATCATTAGAATATCATTATGTATTTTGGTAACTGCAGTTTCACAACTATGGAATTTTCTATAGCCTGATTGATATGGGGAAAACAGGTTGTTGACATCAGCATATTCATTTAATTGGCAATGAACTACTTTTTCTAGTATTTTGGACAGATAAGTTAGATTGCTAATCGGTCGATAGTTTTTCAGCTCATCAACATCTAAGGTAGGTTTCTTGAGTCCAGGCCTAATAGATGCTTCTTTTAGGGCAGATGGAAACTTTCCGACTCTTAGTGATTCATTCACGATGTAATGGATGATTGGGAGAAGCTCGGGTAAGCAGTTCTTGAAGAGCCACATTGGTATGACATCGAGTACGCTTGATTTATTGGGAAGACTCTTAATTAAGGTTTCAAGGTCTGATAATGAGACTTCCTTAAACTGATTAAGTCTACACTTTGCATTATCTATCGAAGTAGAGTCCTTGGTACCTTGACCGTTTAGGGAAGTGTTTTGAATTTCCTTCTCAATATTAGAGTAAATGGTCTTTACTTTTTGATCGAAGAAAGTCTTGAGTTTGGCAGCCACTTCGATATCTTCACCATTTGGCAATTTGTTGGAGCCATATTCCTTATCTAAAAGTTTATTTATGACTTTATAGGTCCCTTTCGAGTCTCCTTTGCAAGAACTGAGCTGTTTATCATAGTAGCCATCCCTAGCTCGATTGATAGTGATTTCTGCGTCAACACATTTTTCAAAATGAGTAGTTTTAAACTCATCATTCTCTGGATACTTTTTGGCTTTTCGTTTTGCCCTTCTCCTCTCTCTGACAGCAATTTGACATTCATTATCCCAAAAATCAGACTTTTCAGCAGTAAATCGTTTCGTAATAAGTGGGGCATGTTTGTCCAGCACCTGTTCAAGGACATTTTGATAAAGGTTCACAGCCTCGTCTAAGGATTGATATTCAGAAAGGTTAAGCTCTGAACAAAACAGATCTTCCCTGAACTTATCGATGTCAATTTTGCTTAGCTCTCTGACATCTTTTTCTTCATATGTACGAGCTTTATGAAGATCGAATGTGACTGGAACCTGAAAACTTACTAGATAGTGATCAGAGCTGGTTCCAGTGCTTGTCTCTACCATCATATCTGTTACAGACAATGAGTCACTTACACAGCCTAGAGTAAATAACAAGTCCAGTGTCCCGCCGGAGATGTGAGTAGGAGAGTCGACATGCTGAAGGAAGCCTTTGCTCTCACAAAGAGCAATAAAGTTCTGGGCAACATTATTGTATATGTCTTCAACATGGAAATTAAAGTCACCACAAATAATTGGAGATCCAGTTTTAAGCAGAAGATTGTCCAGGTATCCATCAAAGTCATCCATAAACTTAGATATTTTTGTTTCATCGTATTTCGCTTTGGCCTGAGTGCTGCGATAAACTACACATAGCCTGATAATCTCACCAGCAGTTTTAATGACACATTCAAGTACTTCAAAAGATGAATATTTAGTAACATCATTGCGTACAGGCGATATCATTTTGGGGTTGAAGAGAAAACCAACACCACCTCCCCTACCTCTTCGAGGGGCACTGATAATATCGAACCCAAAATCACGGATTTCGGCAAATTTTGCCCGATCATTAGTTTTTAGCCAAGTTTCCGTGATACAACAGATAGAAATCGAGTTATCTTTAAGCATTTCTAGTACGCCACAAGTTTTGTTGCATAGAGACCTTGCGTTGAAACAACCAATAGAAAGCTGTGATTTCTGTCGATTAGCACCTAATTTCACATTACGTTTTTTGAAATAAAGTCAGTGTTAGCAGCAATACGTTTAGTTTCTCTTACCAACACAGGACAATCGTAAGCTGCCGCATTATGTGTTCTTGAATTCTCGGCATCATTAGTGTGTGTTGAAGCCAAACATCGAGCACAGGCATGTTTGTCCTTCTTCTGCTTAAATTGGCATGCTGAAGACCGGTGACTTCCCATACAGTACATGCAGGTCGGATGTTTATTTGTTTTGACTTCATTACAGTCAACAGAAGTGTGTCCAATCATTTGACAATGATAACACTGTTTGATGTAGAAGCGATCAGTTACTTTGTATCTGCGACTACCTAAATAGAGAGATCCTTGTTGTTGGTTAAAGAGGACTCTATAGACAGATGGTGATAGTTTGATTCCAATAGTGAGCTCTATGCGTTCCTGTTTATCGTTGGTGAAACGTTTTATCTTATTGAGATAGACAATACTGATGGTGTGCCCTGCTTCATACAAATCTTTGATGGACGAGTTTTTCTCCACAATTTGGGCGACTAAGTGGTTCTTTTCAAGATCCCTAAGTTTATCGGCATCATTCCCTACAGCTGTAGTGTCTATATCGTCAAGAACTTCAGAAGAAACACCATAAATAGTAACTTTTGGCAGCATTTTGTTGCCATTCTTAGACTGATATCCATACGAATCTAAGGTATTTCCATCATTGAGAAGTGAAGTAGCCTTATCACGAATTTCAGCATTAGGGAAGCCAATTGAAACTTTCTTGTTGTTTTCATTACATCTGAGAAATACTACTTGACTGCTCTTTAATTTATCAGTAGCAAATTTTTTCACATTCGTCATTGTTGCAGCATTTACCGATTGTTCTTCTTTCGGGGACAGAATTAGAATCTCGGGTGATGAAGGTTGTGTACGTGTTGGAGCAATTGGAACATGTGGTGGTTGAGCAGATGGTGTGGAACTGTTTGAGTCGGTAAACAAGCTGGAATAGAGAACGTCCTTTGTATGAGAAACAGTACCGGATTTTGTTACAACAGTGTTTACTTTATTGTCAATAACATCATTGATATTTTTCGTGAGGTCTTCTTTTAAAGATGAAAACTGTTCAGCAAATTGTTTCATAAAATCAACCTGATCTGAGGATCGCTCTTGAGCTCTCTCAGGTTTCTGGGACAGTTGTTCCTTCAGCAAGGTTTTAAGTTCAGACATCTCTTCCCTGAACTCCAAATTTATGGCATCTATTTTATTATCTAACAATCCTACCCGATCTACGGTAGTAGCAGCCCTCTTTTCCTCCTCAGCAGTACTACAATCATTACAGATAAATAGAAAGCGACCAAATCGTTTAGCATAAGATGAAGTGTTGTTCACAGCATGAGACAGGTGAGCAGTAAAAACCGTGGGCGCACTGACATTGCAAGTTTCATCACAGTTGATAGCATGAAAACTGTCCTTACACCAAAAACACTGTACAATGTCGGTACTTTTGACAACCTCATCATTCGAACAAGCTTTACATAAACCGTTGACGAGAAGATTCTTTGCAGAGTTATGAGCAGACTTTTCCATTGCAATTGTGTATTTGTACTTGTATAGATGTACAAAGGTAAAGTACAAACACCGTGCAGTAGCAGTGCAGTGGCAGTTAAAATTTCCGATTAAACAGAGATAAGGGAGCTCTGTTTTTCAACACGTAACAAAACTACAAACAATACTTAATGCTGGGAATGTAAAAATTGTAAAGGCCAATAGTAAAGTCGGAATGTTTATACATTGCCTCTGTTGCCAGCTTACTAAATAGAACGAGGGGATTAATGAATTTCAGTGAAATTTGCTAAATGTAATTAGACTTATGAAGGTTGTATTATTTGGGCCTGAGGCCCATCCTTTTATATTCTTGATTTTTGGCAAGATGGAGTTTTGATTGTTAAACGCGGGTTGAGCCTGTACTGCCTGTACTGCAACAGAGGAAAAATATGATTTATATATTCGGTATCAGATATTCAACGATAATCAATCGTCTTTTACTGATAAATTTAGACAAATCTGGAAATCTTGTCAGTATCTAAACAAAATACATATTTGTTAAAAATGAAATATAATTTGTAAAATATAGATCCAATGTCATTTTAAAATCATTTTAACGGTATATAAAAACAATAGTCAAATTAATGGAATGATTAATTACTAAAAATAACTTGAAATTTTGTCAATCACAGTGAACAACTTAAAATCCCGGCAGTGAAAATTCCAGTTCAAGTTCAAACAAATTAGTTTAAAACATACTTTAAAAAATAATCCGGCATCAAAATCCGGCATCAAAAATGCCGCTTTCTGTTTAACCAAAAGTATAAAAAACATTCTTGTTCAGTTGGTTAACTGGCTAGTGGCTATATCTATATTCATATCAGATGAACACTAGGCCAGAAAATCCAATTTAATATACAAATATATTTCACTTAATTAATTGATAAAGGAGCAAGGTTGCTTCCACCATGGGCGGGGGATCAGGTACTAAGTTCCGTACGATTCTGACCTTATCATCCCCCGCCATATCAAATAACGGAGTAGTTCGCTGTTTATTAGTCTCATGATTGAAATACTGATATCTGGATATTATCCGGTTGGAAGAGACAAGGACAAGTGAAACAAGGAAGTTAGGAGTAAGGGCAAATTTTCGGCGTCAACGCCATCTTCAGGCTCAAATTATTTGTTATATAGTAGTGTTGAAAGTATTAATACTTTCAACACTACTATATAACAAATAATTTGAGCCTGAAGATGGCGTTGACGCCGAAAATTTGCCCTTACTCCTAACTTCCTTGTTTCACTTGTCCTTGTCTCTTCCAACCGGATAATATCCAGATATCAGTATCCCCCGCCATGGGTCGAGTTTGGTCGAGTCTCCCATTATAAGTTATTTGCTTTTCTTTTTACCCCTTTTTCCCTACCTGAAATATTGACAATTACTCGAAACATAAGATCTCAATAAATTCAATCAAATGAACTTTATAAAGTAAATAAACATATACATCCACTTCATATTGTTGAAGCATGGTACAATCAATGTGATAAGAAATTTTCGTTTCATTTTATCACTGAATATTTCGGCTTACCTGAAATCAATTAATTTAACTAATTAATCAATTAATCGAACTTATTACCTTCTATCAAAATGGAATGTGAAATGTACAGGGGGAGCAGTCTCTTGGTCACGTGATTTGCTTTTACTCTCATTGACTTTGTTATAGGGGATTTGTTTCCTGCTTGTTTCTAGGGGAAACTAGTGTCAGTTGAAAAGTAAAATATCATATTAAGTGGTGCGGTCTAGTTGGTAAATTAGAGATTTTGGCAAAACTGGCACAAAACTGGCACAAAACTGGCACAAAACTGGCACAAAACTGGCACAAAACTGGCACAACTATTTTTATCATGCTGAGCTTATACTCAGATAATGGATCAACATCGATTAAAGTACAGACTATGAAAATATTGGTTCAAATAAACAGATAGTCTCTCGTTATTCATTAAACGTCATTTTGGTGGTGTATATCCTATTGCTAAATTCTACTACACTAGTACTACAAACTTAATGTTACCAAGTGAGAATATGAACAAAGACTAAAGACATTTAAATGATATGATGCAATTCTCAACAAATAACACAACTATTACCAGGTAGATGACATCAACAAAGCGCTGGATTGGTTCTGTCATATCTAGAGTTGTGGTCTGGCTCGTATCTGTGGGTATCTTAATCCTCAATCCTATCAACCACTGAAAGAAAAATGATATAAGAACTTTTCACATGCTAGGGGGTCACCCTTTGAAAATAAGAAATCCCCCATTTCACTGTATCCCACAGAAAATCTCCTTTTATTCATCTTGTTTTTGAAGAACCACTGATTGCTGACATCTCCCCTTTTAAGAGAAAGTAAGACCAAGTACAGTGAAGGGAGTGGATCCGAGAAAATATTTGCATTACACTGGATTAAGTTTAAAACTGCGGACTGTCAAATTTTGAGTTCAATAATTAGCACCTCTTTAATTTGCCGGGCATTTTTCAGAATTTGGCCGCCAAATTTTTTTAAAGGCCTAACTCAAAATTCCAATACAAAACTTAAGGTCATGAGGCGATTCTACGTTGATTCTGAAAATTTCATGAAAAAATATTGAAACCCTATTGAGTTCTATTGTTTTGAGCGAAGTCAGTTTTGCAAATATCGCGAACTGAGATATGGGCGATTTTGTTCATTTTTTGCAATTATTTGAACACAGAATCCACAGTTAGGTAGATATTGAGCCGATAATCATAGAGAATGTGTAGTATAGGCTTACCTTCCATATAAAGTTGGTTTCATTCAAAAATATTGATATTTGACCAATTTATGGGCCAAAATCGATCAAATTTGGTGCGTATGCCCAAATATGGTCATATGGTTTTTGGCTCATAACTCAGTCATTTTTTGTCCAATCTTGATGAAAATTCATATACGAGTTCAGAGGACCACTAGCTACAAGTAAAGCACCTAAAATCTGGATTTTGGGCATGTTCAGGGTATTTGGCTAAATTGGGCCTAATTTGGACCAAATATGGGCGTGGCTGCCCCGCGGGCACCGTTTGGCGGTTGGGGTCCGGGACCCCCTCAAAAGTTCGATCACCGGTCCTAGTTTGTTGGTCAACTACTATCTCGAAACCAAGGTTCACAAAAAAATCAGGCTGAACCCCCCGCCTTAAGTCGGTGTAGCAGCAGACCAGCACAACAAAACTTTCTTAGTGGACAGGTTAGCTGAATTAACAAATTGTTTAATTGATAACCTGTGTAGTAAAGGGGTAGAGCTCCTTATCCACGTGAGTGTAGCCAGTGGGGTTAATGTGGGCAGACTCAATGTATTGGCATCGCTCCAAGTCTTCTACAAGGATCCTTATCTTAGATTCCACTAATCCTATCCACTCTAGATGCTCTGAAGTGAAAATATAGTCACGTGCACTACTTCAGTTTTAGTAGATAAAATGAGAATCGTATTGTCAATTTGACAATCATCTCGAAAAAATATAATTGGTTGAAATTTAGGTAAAGCTCAATCGTTATTTTGGAAACGATTGAATATAATTTAATTTCTGTAAATCAGAAAGCAGCACTTTCATTTGTGGGACGTGTACTAGAAAAAGTTAATTAATTTTAACAAATGATGAAGCTCCTACTATGAAATCAATTAACAGTAGAATATAATTAGTACAATCCAGAAACGATAAAATTATTTAAATACCTTTATTGTCAGCACCCATAGCTTGTATGATAATGTAGTGCTTGTATCTGTGGAAGAAGTCTGAGGGTTCGAAGAGGGAATTCCAGTCCGCTTTACCAGAAAATACGTACTCGCATATACGTTGACCTGAAAAAATGAGTTTTAACCTTAAATCAAGTCTGGTTAAAAGAGTTGATTTAATTTGTTTGTATATTTGATCGGCCGTTGCACATCCAACCTTCAATCCCCGGTCCCCAAAACTATATAAAAATAAACCTATTTTGATCTCCCGAGATATGATATTCTCAGTACTAGTAGTAACGTTGAACGCTGAGTTCTGTTGAGGGTAGGATGGTGTAAGGATAGGCATGACGTGGGCCCTGAAAATTAATTAATTTAACGATTTCAATAAATTATCAAATGCTTTTTGCTTTTAAACTGTCAAACTGATCTAGCAACATTATAACCCAATGTTGGGAATCAGCGAGCATTTCTCAGCTGAGTTTGATTTAGAAATCTTAAAATCTTTCAATTCCAATTTTACTTAAAATATAAGGAGAGATAATTATTATATCTTAATTATTAACGTGTGAATACTATTCAATTTATAAATGGTGGGTTAGCCTGACCATCAACCAAACTATAGTATAGGGGTTACCTGTCACGTGTCAAAGCAATATTTAATCACATGTTCAAATAAACTTACTTGTCTAGGAAACTTGATTGAGGGTTAAATGAGGAGGGGTACCTGTTAAAAGTTAAAGAAACTTCCTAGGATACCCCTTCAGTACATACTGTAAACACAGTACTATTACTATTACTATTACTATTACTATTACTATTACTATTACTATTACTATTACTATTACTATTACTATTAATATTACTACTACTATTACTATTACTATTACTCCCCTATTACTATTACTATTACTATTACTACTACTACTATTACTATTACTATTACTATTACTATTAATACTACTACTACTATTACTATTACTATTACTACTACTACTACTACTACTATTACTACTACTACTATTACTACTACTACTACTACTATTACTATTACTATTACTATTACTATTACTAGGGGGGGGGCTCATGTTTTTTTGTCCGTTTTTGTCCGTTTGGCAGCTATATTTTCAAAACGGACAAAAAATAAAGCGGACAAAAACGGACAAAAACGGACAAAAACGGACAAAAAATAACAAAAATTGAAATAACATTTAGATGCTTCCTCCTCCTCCTCCTCCTCCTCCTCCTCCTCCTCCTCCTCCTCCTCCTCCTCCTCCTCCTCCTCCTCCTCCTCCTCCTCCTCCTCCTCCTCAGCCATCCTCCTCAGCCATCCTCCTCAGCCATCCTCCTCAGTCCTCCTCAGTCCTCCTCCTCTGCAGTCTTCATCATCCTCCTCAGTCCTCCTCCTCCTGGGTCCCCCTCCTCCTCTTCATCCTCCTCCTCTTCCTCCTCAGTCCTCAGTCCTTCTCCTCAGTCCTCCTCCTCATCCTTTTCGTCAGTACTCCTCCTCAGTCCTCCCCCAGTCCCCCTCCTCCTCCTATTCAGTCCTCCTCCTCCTCCTCAGTTCTCCTCCTTCTCATTCCTCCTTCTGAGTCCTCCTCATTCCTCCTTCTGAGTCCTCCTCCTCCTCTTTCTCCTGAGTCCTCCTCCTGGGTCCTCTTTCTCCTCCTCCTTCTCAGTCCTCCTCCTCCTCCCTCTCAGTCATCCTCCTCAGTCATCCTCCTCAGCCATCCTCCTCAGCCATCCTCTTCAGCGATCCTCCTCAGTACTCCTCAGTCCTCCTCCTTCTCAGTCCTCCTCAGTCCTCCTCCTCAGTCATCCTTCTCCTGATCCTCCTCCTCCTCCTCCAGGGGGATCCTGTTTTTTATCCGTTTTTTCCGTTCGGAACCCTATATTATCAAAACGGACAAAAAATAGAGCGGACAAAAACGGACAAAAACGGACAAAAAATAACAAAAATGGAAATAATATTTAGATGCTTCCTCCTCCTCCTCAGTCTTCCTCAGTCATCCTCCTCCTCCTCCTGAGTCCTCCTCCTGGGTCCTCCTCCTGGGACCTCCTCCTCTTGGGTCCACCTCCTCTTCATCCTCCTCCTCTTCCTCCTCAGTCCTCAGTTCTCCTCCTCAGCTCAGTCCTCCTTCTCAGTCCTCCTCCTCATCCTTTTCCTCAGTCCTCCTCCTCAGTCCTGCCCAGTCCCCCTCCTCCTCCTATTCACTCCTCCTCCTCCTCCTCCTCCTCCTCCTCCTCCTCCTCCTCAGTCCTCCTCCTCCTCAGTCCTCCTCCTTCTCAGTCCTCCTCCTCCTCCTCAGTCCTCCTCCTCCTCAGTCATCCTCCTCAGTCCTTCTCCTCCTCAGTCCTTCTCCTCTTCCTCCTCCTCCTCAGTCTTCCTCATATTCCTCAGTCCTCCCCCAGTCACCCTCCTCCTCAGTCCTCCCCCAGTCACCCTCCTCCTCATCCTCATCCTCCTCATCAGTCCTCCTTCGCCTTCTCAGTCCTCCTCTTCAGTCCTCCTCCTCCTTTTCCTGGTTCCTCCTCCTCAGTCCGCATTCTCCTCCTCAGTCCTTCTCAGTCCTTTCCCCAGTCACCCTCCTCCTCATCCTCCTCATCAGTCCTCCTTCTCCTTAGTCCTCCTCCTCAGTCCTCCTCCTCCTCCTCCTGGATCCCTCTTCTCCTCCTCAGTCCTTCTCCTCCTCCTCAGTTATCCACCTCCTCCTCCTTCTCCTCCTGGGTCCTCCTCCTTCTGCTCACCAGTCCTCCTCCTCAGTCCTCCTCATCCTCTTCATCCACTTACTTCTCCTCCTCATCAGTCCTCATCAGTCCTCCTCCTCCCAAGTCATCCTCCTCCTCCTGGGGCCTTTTCCTGTGTCCTCCTCCTCCTGGGTCCTCCTCCTCAGTCCTCCTCCTCTTCCTTCTCCTCAGTCCTTCTCCTCCTCAGTCCTTCTCCTCTTCCTCCTCCTCAGTCTTCCTCCTCCTCAATCCTTTCCCCAGTCACCCTCCTCCTCATCCTCATCCTCCTCATCAGTCCTCCGTCTCCTTCTCAGTCCTCCTTCTCAGTCCTCCTCCTCCTCTTCTTCCTGGTTCCTCCTCCTGGGTCCTCCTTCTCCTCCTCAGTCCTCCTCCTCTTCCTCCTCCTCCTGGGTCCTCCTGATCCTCCTCAGTCTTCTTTCTCCTTCTACTCCTCAGTCCTCCTCCTCCTCAATCCTCCTCTTCCTCCTAAGTCCTCCCCTCCTCAGTCCTCCTAAGTCCTCCCATTCTCAGTCCTCCTCCTCATCAGTCCTCTTCACCAGTCCTCCTCCTCAGTCCTCCTTATCCTCATCCTTCATCTCCTTCCTTCATCTCCTTTCTCCTCCTCATCCTCCTCATACACCTCCTCCTCATCAGTCCTCCTCCTCACTGCTCACTCCTTCTCCTCCTCCTCCTCCTCCTCCTCCTCGTCCTTAGTCCTCTTTATCAGTCCTCATCAGTCCTCATCAGTCCTCCTCCTCCCCAGTCCTCCTTTTGGTGCCTTTTCCTGGGTCCTCCTCCTGGGTCCTCCTCCTCTTGGGTCCTCCTCCTCTTGGGTCCTCCTCCTCATCCTTCTCCTTAGTCCTCCTCCTCCTCAGTCCTCCTCTTGAGTCCTTCTTCTCCTCCTCCTCCTATTCATTCCTCCTCCTCAGTTCTCCTTCTCAGTCTCACTCCTCCTTCTCAGTCCTCCTCCTCCTCTTCTTCCTGGTTCCTCCTCTTGGGTCCTCCTTCTCCTCCTCAGTCCTCCTCCTCTTCCTCCTCTTCCTGGGTCCTCCTGATCCTCCTCAGTCTTCTTCCTCCTTCTACTCCTCAGTCCTCCTCCTGCTCAATCCTCCTCTTCCTCCTAAGTCCTCCCCTCCTCAGTCCTCCTAAGTCCTCCCCTTCTCAGTCCTCCTCCTCATCAGTCCTCTTCACCAGTCCTCCTCCTCAGTCCTCCTTATCCTCATCCTTTATCTCCTTTCTCCTCCTCATCCTCCTCAGATCATACACCTCCTTCTCCTCATCAGTCCTCCTCCTCACTGCTCACTCCTTCTCCTCCTCCTCCTCCTCCTCGTCCTTAGTCCTCTTTATCAGTCCTCATCAGTCCTCATCGGTCCTCCTCCTCCCCAGTCCTCCTCATGGGGCCTTTTCCTGGGTCCTCCTCCTCTTGGGTCCTCCTCCTCTTGAGTCCTTCTTCTCCTCCTCCTATTCATTCCTCCTCCTCCTCAGTTCTCCTTCTCAGTCTCACTCCTCCTCAGCCCCCCTCCTCTCCCTCCTCAGTCCCCCTCCTCAGTCCCCCCTCCTCCTTTTCCTCTCTTTCATCTCTCAATAATTTGTTCAATTTATAATTATTGTTGGTGTTATTGTTAACATAATTTATTGTTATATACTAAAATGTTTTTAAGCGCATTTGAGTCTGACTCAAAATGTGCTCAAGAATCTTTGTGTTTAACAAAGTTTTACTCTCCAGTAATAAAACTTTTCATCCCTTTTTATGTCATTAAAAAATGTGTAGACTATTCTTTGTGCCTAATTGAAGATTAAAAGTTTGAGAAAGGACCATGGTCATTAACCGGGCTACCCATTTCTGCAGATAGTCTGTTACAAATTGTGGAGAAAATTTAAATCAAAAGTTACAATTTTTGTCCGTTTTTGTCCGTTTTTGATGGTGATGGTAATGGTAATGGTAATGGTAATGGTAATGGTAATGGTAATGGTAATAGTAGTAGTAGTAGTAGTAGTAGTAGTAGAAGTAGTAATAGTAATATTAATAGTAATAGTAATAGTACTAGTAGTAGTAGTAGTAGTAATAGTATTAGTAATATTAATAGTAATAGTAAGGGGGGGGGATCATGTTATTTTTTGTCCGTTTTTGTCCGTTTTTGTCCGTTTGGCAGCTATATTTTCAAAACGGACAAAAATTAACGGACAAAAACGGACAAAAACGGACAAAAAATAACATGATCCCCCCCCCCCGTACTATTACTATTAATATTACTAATACTATTACTACTACTACTACTACTACTACTAGTACTATTACTATTAATATTACTATTACTACTTCTACTACTACTACTACTACTACTACTACTATTACCATTACCATTACCATTACCATTACCATTACCATTACCATTACCATCACCATCACCATCACCATCACCATCACCATCACCATCACCATCACCATCACCATCACCATTACTATTACTATTACTATAACCTGTCAGAGGGATTAACCCTGGGATCCCACACAGGTAGCTGCAAGTCACCAGAGTGTATATCTTCAGGGTAACGTAACATAACCGGGACAGGCCACTTCCTAAAGATGCAATATTTTACGAAAACTTGTCGCATTTTGAAAAAAATGTTGAACAAATATTGAAACTTTTCATAATGAAATATTGAAACTTTCATGATAAAGTATACGAATTAGAAACATTGTCAAATCTAAAATATCTTACCACTGATCGAAAACAAGGAAGAATTTGCGAACTAAAGTGGCAGGTGCAGCATTTGGATACATCTGACAGACTCTAGCCATTAGGATAGCCCAGGAAACGCCACCGAGGTAGCCTAGACTGTTACTGTAAATACCTTTACCTGTAAATCATTATCAACTTGTCATTTGTGAGAATATTAGAACTAAAGAGCTTGTTTTGCTAATCTTTGATAATAATAATATATATAATCTGAATTATAATTAATTAATACATATAGTTACTATAATAAATTATATAATTATAAATAATGACCTACGTTTTGCCCAAAGTTTTACAGCTCTGACTGCCATTTTAAAACTGTCAGGTTTGTGAACTAGAGCCAGAATATCCTCTGTTACTCTGCAACCATCCAAACTCTTTAAACACCTTAGTATTTCATTATTTTTATTTTATTATTAGATAATTGTTATTTTATTTTGTTATTTTCATCTCAATTACCTGCCTAAATTATGTAAACAGTTTTTATTGTCTACGGTATGATCGAATAACTCGATAATTCTCCAACTGCAATAATTCTCCAATACGAATACAAATGTGTGTACTAGTTGCTGGAGGCAAAGCCGAGCGGCATAATTAGTGAATTAGTATTAATAAACATATCAGAATGCCTGTTAAATTATCGATATCATAACTTGTAATTATGATTGATTTAACTTACTAGTTTCTAACTTACTTTTCGTCGATGTAGTTCAGCAAGTTGACATCATCCAACTTGAGGTCATCTGGTATCGATTTTAGTGTTAGTCTTGCGAACAACAAATCAATCTGTGAAGCAAAGAGTTTGCATTGAAATACAGAATAGAGTGATACTGGATACTGTTATATATTGTATTACTATAATTGATATTGTTATATTTACTAATCAATGAACTTCCCTAGCCTCTTATGGCTAGTTCCAAATAGACTGTTCCTTGTTATATCAACTGGCGACGAGGATGGCAAACAAGTTGGAGAACCTGTCACTAATGGCGGACGTGAAAAGTTGGTTAGAAAGGTTTGATTTTCACGCCCTGGCCAATTCTTGGATGGGGACAGTGCCGGACCTAGCAGAGGACAGCAGTAACGCAGCAGAGCGAACTTTGATCATAAAAAAGAATGTAGCGGTGTTCATATCTAAATGTGATGCTGAAATATTCAAGCTTTTAAAAGCTTTGTGTGCGCCGGAGAATGTAGCTGACTCAAACCACCCTAGACTGAGGAAGTTGTTATTGGACCACCTGGCACCGGCACCTACTAAATTCGCTCAAAGGCACAAATTTAGGAGTGGACGCCAGCAGTCAGATGAGTCTGGAGCCAGCTTTATATCAAGATTAAGGTCACTGGCAAATGAGTGTGAATTTGGCACAAACTATAACGAAGCTTTGCTAGATCAGATTCTGTGCGGTCTGAAGGACGAGAAACTGGTATCGGAACTGTTAGTCAAAACAGATTTGGATCTGGAAACAGCCATAAGAGAAGCGCTCAACAGAGAGCAAGCTCAGAAAGAGGCTCAAGGAATGCATGGTAGTATGTCTGCCACAGTGAACAGTGTTAAGTATAGTAAACATCCAACATTCAAGAGAACAGTAAATAACCCTTATCTGAAGAAGGGGGAGTCATCTCAAATGGACAAAAAACAATATCAGCCGGAAAATCGGGACTCAAACAACAAATCAAAAACCAAGTGTAAGAAGTGTGGTTTAAGGGGTCATGAGGCTGATAAATGTGAGGTGAGATGTTACAAATGTTCGGGACTTGGGCACATCAGTAGCAAGTGTAGGAGTAATTGGAACAAGCGAGATGTCAACAATGTAGACAGCGATGCAGAACTACAAGAGTTTGACGACAACTGCAACAGCATTCTCGACGAGGAGTTTTATGGGCTTCAGTGTAACTTCATAGAAGTTAATGAGCGATCACAGTTGCATGATAATTGTTCCATAATTGTAAATTCTTTGGGGATTTGTACGATTTCTCGGTTGCATGAAAATATTGCTGATTCCAAGTTTAAATTGAATAGTGCTGAATCTAATTCTAATTCCGATAAATTGATTTATGATGTAAACCAGTTGGAAGGTAAACCGACAGTTGATGTATTGATTAACGGTAAAATCTTAAATATGGAATTTGATTCTGGTTCGGCGGTATCTGTTGTCAGTAAACGTGTCTTAGTGTCCTGTGGTTTGTCAAGTTTAACATTACAACCCAGCAGGAAAACACTGAGAGTGGCTAGTGGACAGCAGGTGATCGTGGATGGCTATGCAGTGGTGGATGTGACAATGAATGGTAAAAAAGTTCCGGACTTGCACTTGTATGTAGCCGAGGATTTCCCAACTTTGTTAGGGAGACCCTGGATAACTAAGTTCTGTGGTGAGAACTGGCTAGACAAGCTGCTAAGTACCAGGTTGGTCAACCGTTTGGCAATTGAGACAACCCAGCGTTCTGAAGATTCTCAGCAGGTGAACAACTGTGAGAAATGTGCAGGTAGCGACGGTAGAGGGGGACCAATGATGCAAACTGATGGGACCAACGTGAAGAATGATTTAAAACTCAATGATGACTGTACCAGAGTGGATCAGTGCAGAAGTTTGGAGGAGCTCAAACTGAGTGATGTGTTCAAATCGGGACTTGGACTAGTGAAGGATGTGGAGGCGAGTTTGGTCCTGCGAGACGACTCCAAGCCTATAATGTTGAAGGCTAGAAACCTGCCGTATGCCTTGAGACACAAAGTTGAGGATGAACTTAACTCAATGGTTGAAAGCGGTATCCTGTCCAAAGTAGATGATAGCCCGTGGGGGACTCCTCTAGTTCCAGTAAAGAAAGACGGAGGTGAGTCTGTTCGAATATGTGGAGACTACAAGTCAACGTTGAACAAGTGTGTGAGCACCCGACAGTACCCTTTGCCCACAGCGGAAGAGTGCTTTAATACAGTTCGGGGTGGCCTAAAGTTTTCAAAAGTTGACATCAAGAAAGCTTACAATAACATCCAGATTAGAGAGGAGGACCGAGTCTTGACGACACTTAACACACACAAAGGACTGTACCAATGGAATAGATTACCCTATGGTATCAGTAGTTCTGCAGCAATCTTTCAGTCAATAATGGATGATACCCTACGCGGTGTGCCGATGACTTGTTGCAGAATAGATGATATCCTAATATCGGGTAAAAATGACGAAGAGCACTTGATTAACCTGAACAGAGTGATTTCTCGCTTGGAGAGACGTGGATTCAAGTGCAAACTCGAGAAAACCTGCCTTATGGAGAAAGAAGTGATTTACTTGGGACACTGAGTATCAGCAGAGGGGATACAACCGGTACAGAGTAAAGTAGACAGTTTAAAGTTGGCTCCTGAACCCAAAAACGTGGACCAACTGGTCAGTTTTCTGGGTGCAGTGAACTACTATCGACGATATTTACCGAACCTGTCATCTGTTATTGCTCCCCTAGATAGGTTAAGAGCAAAGGGAGTGCTGTGGAAGTGGTCCAATGAGGAGCAGAAAGCGTTCCAAAGTTTGAAGAACTTGTTGTGTTCTCGTCGTGTGTTGACATTCTACAACCCTAAGCTACCTCTGAAACTCGATACGGATGCGTCTAAATCTGGAATAGGAGCAGTATTATCTCACATAATGCCTAATGGAGAAGAACGCCCGATCGAGTATGTGTCACGAACCTTATCGTCTGCAGAAAGGAACTATGCACAAATGGACAAAGAAGCTTTGGCAATAGTATGGTCAATAAAGAGACTGCATATCTATCTCTATGGAAGGAGATTTAAACTGGTCACGGATCACAAAGCTTTAGTACGAATCTTTGGAGACAAACCAATTCCAGAGATGACAGCTAACCGGATAACAAGGTGGGCCTTATTCCTGATGAACTACCAATACGACATCGAGTATCGCACCACAAAAGATCACGCAAATTGTGATATGCTGTCGAGACTACCAAAGGAGGTGAGACACCCAACTGTGGTTAAAGATGACTGTTTGGATATGTTTTCTCTGACAGTGAGTGAAGCCATGCTCAACGCCGAGTTGGTGGCTCGAGAAACGAAGAAAGATCCGATACTGAGCAAGGTTTTGTGTTATATTCTGGAAGGATGGCCAGATTACCTGAAATGTGAGGGAGAACTAGCATCTTTTTGGAGCAGGAGAGACGAGCTGACAGTGGAACTAGGCTGTGTGACCTGGGGAGCTCGAGTGGTCATCCCTGTAAAGTTGAGAGATACTGTGATACGTATATTACATTCGACCCACATTGGTATGTCAGGTATGAAGAGCTTAGCTCGTTCTTATGTATACTGGCCTCGTCTTGACACACAAATCGAGGATACTGCTCGGACGTGTGAGACGTGTGGCAAGTACGGTAAGAACCTACCCAAACTGGTAGATCATCCGTGGGCTAGAGCAACAGCACCATTCCAACGGGTCCATGTAGACTTTGCTGGGCCTTTCTTAGGCAGTATGTGGCTCTTACTGGTAGATGCTTATAGTAAATGGCCTGAAGTAATTCAGATGAATGCTAATACAACATCTAGAGCAACAATTCGTGCATTAAGATCGATATTTGCACGAACAGGTATTCCTATGACACTAGTATCCGACAATGGACCCCAGTTTGTGTCTGAGGAAATCGAGAGTTACCTGCGCTCCAATGGAGTGAAACATGTCACAGTTCCGACCTATAGCCCAAAGTCAAACGGAATTTGTGAACGCTTGGTGCAAACCTTTAAAGGAGCTTTAAAGAAAATGAATGAGTCGAGTAAAGACGTGAGTAAAAATCTATATGATTTCCTGTTAACATATAGAAACACCCCGCATTCGTCTACTGGACAAACACCAGCAGTTTTAGCTTGGAACAGATCGCTGAGGTTTAGTCTACACCAGATAAAACCAGCCGACCACATGAGAAACTGCAAAAAGTCGTAGATGAGCAAAAAAAGACACGAGAATTTATGGAGAGCCAACAAGTTTTTGTACGAATGGACAATCGAGGACCGTGGGTACAAGCTCGAGTGATCAAGAGATACGGTGATAACTCAAACAACTACGCAATCCAGCACGAAGGCAGAGTGGTTAAGAAACACGCAGATGTGCTAAAACCTAGATACTCACCGGTAATTAGTATGAAGAGAGATGATGTACCCGAGAGTCAAAGACGACGGTTGACAGAGGACGGGGACCGATATTTAATGATGAAGGGTCAAAAACTAAACGAGGTCCTGGAACGTAGACGACAGAGAGCGGAGTCACACATACCTGTTTCCGACCACATGACAACAAATGTTATTCCTCAGCAGTCAGCTCGATCAGCTTCACCTGTGGAGCAACCAGGTAGGTTGGTCCGTGAGTCCCAGTCGAGTCCGATTGTAAATAGTGAGTTAGTGTCTGGTTCGTCCGTGATTAGTAGCTCTAGCGTAGCGTCTAACAGTCCGTCTGTAGTCCGTTCGTCTGTAGCCAGACCAGAGGAAAGGCCGAGTAGAAGGGCTAAGACTAATGCACTGATAAAGATGAAAGAGATGACGTAAGGGTATTTGAGCTAAAATATGTAATATTTTGGCCTTGTAATTGTAAATAATTTTTCGGACAGATGTTATATTAAGACATTGTTTTTATCGTTACCGTTTTATAGATGTTATAATAAGACAGAGAAATAATTTTACAGTTTTTTTACCTTTAATGTTTATTGTGAACCGTTTGATAATGTGAGTTTTTAATATTTGAAATGTGGAGAGTAATAGTGACAGTCAACCGAGCGCCAAGTGAGGGCCGGTATTGGACTGGAAAGAATATGTATGTAACGCGCGGACGCCAAACAGTTCTTGACCGAACAAAAGCAATAGCGCTAAACATTTAGCGATTGACTTTTGGTCGCGCGCGCGCCGCAGACCAGGCGAGATCAGAACTGTTCGGTTAACCTAGCGAGGGGAATTGTTATATATTGTATTACTATAATTGATATTGTTATATTTACTAATCAATGAACTTCCCTAGCCTCTTATAGCTAGTTCCAAATAGACTGTTCCTTGTTATATCAGATACATCTGATTAGAAGAATAAGAATAAGAATCGCTTCCCTAATTGCAGATCTTTTTGAACAATCCTGTCAAAAATGTTCAATGTTATTTACCTCAATTCCATCGAAGTTGAATTTTATGACTGGCACGTATGCTTCTTCAATAGCCTAGAAAAATATTCATATTAGGTATCCAAAGTTAAAAGGCAGCACAATTAACAAGAATTATTTATTTTTGTCAAAAACACAGAATAAAATTAAATGGAGCTTTTAATTTACCCTTAAGTTGGAAACATTAGGTTGACTCTGCAACAGTTGGAAGAATGCTGTAAAGAAATCAATTCTGGTGACATTCCGTGGTGCAACAAGCAGCAAATCTATGTCAGTTCCTGCGTTTAAATCAGTAAATCAAAAAATCCTGTTATACACCAGACAGTTTTTGCACACTAATAGTTACTTTAATCACATCCAAAACATTTCCTGTAAAGTTCTCTACTTTGATAATAGTGAGGAACTGCATCAAATGCTTTTGAAAAGTCAAAATATATCAGATCAACTGGTAGACCGTGATTCAATAATTCTGAAATATTGTCAAAAGACTCCAGCAAATTCGACAAAAAGTATTTCCCTTTTAACAAATACATGTTGGTGATCAAAAAATTGTTCTCCAAGTAATTCACAATATGCTGTCTGATATATTTAACACAACCTTGAAGGTTAAAATGGGGCACAAAATTGGAATAACATTGAAAAGGCATCTACCTACTACCTTCCTTTATAATTACCTTGGGAATGAACTCCTAATCTGTAGGATCCAAATGTGACAATTTTACCACAAACTTTCTCAGCATACATCCTGGGTATACCCTGGAAAATTTGATTTCTATTCATCAAGATAATTATTAAGTAACCATTTTTCCTGAACTGCTGTATTAGTGTTGTGCACAGATCCGTGTCAACTTGCACGAAGCAATAAGCATAAGGTTGCATGTAATCAATATGGAATATGATAGGAGACATGTATTAGGAAATTGAACAGCCCTCCACAAAGGAAATGCAGCCACATTTCTTGTTATTCATCCTGTGACATCCAAGTTACTTACATTAAGTATGGAGCCTAAACTAGCTTCATTCTTTCATTAAGTGGCCTTGGTTAAGTAAACCAGGTTTTTTAGATGCACCACTCATTAACAACAGTTGCAAGTTTAAACTCTACTTTGTTAATTATCAATATAAATGACAAAATTTGATATATTGACCAAGTGAGATATTATAGGACTTACTTGTTGTATAGTAATATCAATGATCCATTGCTTTGATATGTCATCCAGTTGTTGGGTAACAGTGTTTCGTTTGTTCAGTTCATTAATTGACTCGAATACACCAAATCTTTGTAACACATCTTCAAGATCTTTACTAAGCTTTATATCCTGAACGTTGATTAAAAGTACAGCTTAATGACAGTATGCAAAAACACTGCTAGAACAGCAATCAGTTGTCCTGTTCCCGCACTGCTGATATAATTTTAAAAGCAAGGAGATGGTACAGTGTTAGGTTCATGAAAATACATCTAAACTAAATAATAATAATAATTTAAACTTATAGATTATAGTGGCACAACAACTTAAAATGCACAGGTGTGCCACGAAAACAAGTCAGGATAAACTAAGATAATTTGTCACAATAACTTACCAATGGTTTCGCTTCAGCAGTGCTGATAGCTGATGTAACTCCTAAAGACATAGCTTCGCAAGAGTTTTTTAGGGCTGCTAATACGATTATGTAAGTCAATAAGTTAGCAAATGTTTTTGAGGAAATGTCATTCAAAAAATATACTTACTTTTTTTACTTTGGGCGATCCTCAATCGAAATCCCATTCACTGTCTGCCTCCACACGTCTCGATCGCACATAACAGTTCGAAGGTCGTCTAACTGGAGCCCAGTGTCACGAGCTACTACGTCCAGGAAGGTGAGTGGTCTCCTTCCACGGCCGGATTGGGCAAGTCGCCAGGGGAGGATAGTGGAGATAACTTGGTCAGAAGCTCTCATGCAATGCCCAGCGAATCTGGAACGCCTCGACGCAACCACTGAGGCAATAGATGGAAGGTTGCCATAGATCTGCTTGAGGGTTGGATGTTTCTTCCACGAGATGTTCTTGGCCTTCATTAAAAGACGGGTGTAGCATCCGTTGAGGCGCTTCTCAAGCTGCTTGTTTATGGTCCATGTCTCTGATCCATAGAGCAATACTGGTTCGACACAGGCTCTAAAGAACTTGACTTTCAGTTGTTCGGAAATGCCAGAGGACCAGACTTTTTGCAGTTTAATACATGCTGACCAGGCCATTCCTTTCCTTGTGTTGAAATCCTTTCTACTGTCCGCAATGAAAGAGCCGAGGTATTTAAAGTCATCAACCTGTTTAATCTGGCGGCCTGAGATGGAATGTAAGTCGACAGTGTCAGGGATGTTGATGGTCATGAACTCGGTCTTAGAAGCATTCATAGCAAGACCAACTTGTGCGGCTGCATTTTCAAGGTCTGTCAGCAGAAGTTGGACTTGCTCTATGGTGTCTGACATTAAGGCCAAATCATCAGCAAAGTCAAGGTCTGTGATTTTGACCGCAGGCACTCTTCGACTTTTCCTAGGCACGATGGTAAGACCGAATTCTTCACCCATGCAGCTTCTGAGGACATAGTCAAGGACGATGATGAAGAGAAAGAGTGCTAGAGTGTCCCCTTGGAGAACTCCAATAAGTGTCCTAAAAAAGTCAGTAAGGCCGTCGATGGTCTGGACACGAGAGAACGATGAGTCATAAAGAAGCCTGATAGCATCTACAAGTGGAGCAGGGATACCGTAGAGGGAGAGGATGTGGAAAAGGGCATCCCGGTTAATGCTGTCGAACGCTTTCGAAAAATCGACAAACACAATTGCGGCTGAGCGATTTCCGATCTTGCATTCCTCGAGTATACGACGTAGGGCAAGGACCTGTGGGAGTGTGGATCTTCCTCTACGGAAACCATTTTGGTTTGGCCGCAAGTGGGGATCAATGAATGGGTAGATCCGGTTGAGGATGAGCTTGTTAAAAACTTTCGCTGCAACCGGTGCCAGTGAAATGCCACGGTAAAAAAATATAGATATAGCAAATGTTATGATCACAGTTTATACCTGAAGTTGCATGCATTAACAAAGTTGAAGAAGGGAAACAATTGACTTTCCTACTTTTTCATTGTGTTAAAAACAATATCGGGATGAAAATTCTACCCAAATAATTAGAAAAACTGTACCCCACAGTAATAACCATAACAGTCTATAACAATAGAATGGAGCCGTGACTGAAAAAAGTGTTTTACGTTTACAATGGCAAATTGCAAACGTTGACAAATAACTTATAGTCTCTTTGTCCAAACAATATACACATAATATAACAATTACCCTATATAAAAATTCAATATAAATTCAATAATAAAAACAAATAAATATTATCAGACTATACATGCAGCAGACTATACATGCAGCATGAGTAACTGGTGGATAAGCCTTCGGTAAAAACGGATCCGGAAAAGTCATTGTGGCACTCGGGTCCTTGGTATTGTCGTCGGTATATTGTCCATTACCTACGTTCTGCTTTCATAGTTTAAACAATTGTGAGTTCTAAATATACAGCTTTAAACCGACTAAGTATGAATGAATGAAATACCTGACAATCTACACTCCTATAAAAATTAAAAAAGCATGAGTAACTCGTAGTGATGTATGATTTCTAGAAACTTTAAATTAAATTTGGCGCTCACAGGTCCTCATGATCATGTGATCGCCGCATGAGGTTCTGTAAATGCGCAGGGCACCTTCGAGCTCATATTATTCACCTTACTGAGGCAGTCAACCAACGCGCGGCTTTATTTTTATGATATGATATGTTTTGATTGTTATTAATAAATACAAAAATTTAAATTTGTTTTCCTAAAATTTGTTTTCCTAATAGAAAACTAAATAAAATTTATAAACACCCTTTAAGTAGTATAAGTAAGCCAGTTTAAAGATCTGACTATAGTCTCTTTGTTCAACTTTTGGAATTACGAGCTATCATATTAAAAATGCAATTTCATTTTTAGCTTGAATAGTTTTAAAGATTTATATTTAATTTATACGACAAAACATGGCTCAAACTAAGCTATATACATTCCTCCCACTTGTATTTGTTTTATTATTAGCTCCCAAACGTTTTGGTAGAGGACAAATTTCAATTAAAAATTCTTCAGAAACTGTATTTGTAGCGCGATGCAATTCAATTCTGCATGGGCCGCGCGCGCATCAAATAATGCTTCTTGCAACCACGTATGCAGATCTGAGATCGGCGAGGTGCGAAGGATTGACATCGTGAATCAAAAACTGCATGATCAATTTTTAAAATGTTTACCTGGGGACCTCATGCTATCATATTTATGTTCATATAATCATAAAATTGAGATTCGGCGGAATGACAGACTGAGCGCCACCTAGTAAAATTATTTTCCGGATTTTGCCTTTGTGCAATTGTTGTTCATACATCATATTTTACAAAAAGTAAAGTTTTCAAATTGCGCGTATTGCAATAACTTCTTTAAAACTTCATGAATCGATTATCATTTTTAAATAATAATTCAATGTATTTGGAATTATTATAATAAATGCAATTATACAAATCATTTGGAATACCTTTGAAAAATAATAATAAACTAAAAAACGCTGGTGACTTATTTTTTCGTGAAAAGCACATAATAACGCGAAAAAAATTGTCGAGATGCCTCAAAATCTAGGTAAACTATAGGTAAAAATATAATATTAATCATAAGCTAAAATGTACTAATCTTTGTATTCTAAATGGGGAAAAGAAGAAACATTTTCAGTCAGTCGAGAAAATTGTCAGCCAGGCTATATGGCAGCTAAGTGATTTTTTAGAATTCCCGTTCTATTTTGATTATTCAAATAAGTATCAAATACTAACGGGAGGCACTCAACCTGTCATTCCGCTGCAGTTTTAATGCGCAATGCCGCAATGTGTTTATATTAAACATTACCTGAGGACCCCAGGCTATTATGTTCATTAACATATAGAATAAAGATTTGGCGGAATGACAGGCTGAGCGCGGCCCAGTAATATTAAACATTATAGCATGTTGTCTCCAGGTAAATCAAATATTGAAAGCAAGTGTCAAGTTATTGCAGCTTAACTCAGTTTAGTATAAACATTAAATTCAGCAGCACTGATTAACGCGAAATTATAATAAAATCTTTAGATTTAGAGCTGCAAAATTGTTAACTTGTATCTATTTTTTATAAACATGTCTCTTAAAAAATGTAGTTGCTGTACATGTAATTAAACTTGAAAATGTGGAGAGATGTTTGTCGGATTATTTAGCTTGCTATCTTATTGTTCGCTTCTTACATGTGAAGGAAGCTTGAAAAGAGCCCCCCTCCCCCCGCACAGAGACTGGTGTGCCAGGTAATTTGTCGGATTAAAGCATTGATCGTTTACAGTTTAATAACTTAAAGGTATTAAACTTTTGTAGTACAGGAATTCTGTTTGCTTCTAAGTTTGGTTTGTTTTGCGAAACCAGTATATGTTTACAGTTGATGCAGTAAAACTACAGTATCGTATTATATACCAAGCTGAAAAGATCTATATCAATGAAAATAAAAAGAAAACAACCATGCTTAAGGAAAACATGGGGTTACACAAGGTATATTGATGATGAAAATCTAAATATTATAGGCTACAATGAGCATTTTAGTAACAAATAGTATGAAAGATCTGAAATTTAAAAAATAAAAACCCTAAAAATATTTACACCCCAAGTTAAAAATATAAATACTTTATTTCTAAAAACACTATCAAATAAGGTGGTTGATCAGTCACTTGTGTCATTACGACGACGTCGTTATATCAAGTCAAAATATTCCCCAAAATAATTTAAAGACGATTCCCGATCAAAAACGTTTTTGGTAGAAAAAGTTTTTCGAGTTACATAAATATCAATGGAGATGCAATTTTATAGATAAAATCAATAAAGCTTAAAAGTGAAGCCCAAAACAAAGTAACACACCCAACAATGGTTGAGATGTGATACATCCAAGCAGTCTAAGTCGACAATAATATCATGTGAGTTAATATAAAACTAGCTCCAATGTTCATGTAACCAGACAGGTTCTACCAATCCGAAGAGTAAAGTAGATTTCCATTCAGTCAGTAGTAAACAGTGTCTAGCACTGGTCGTCCTAAGAGGGACTCCCCATTTATTACAGGCCTGGGTAATACACAAGGTATAACATAATTTAGGAAATCTAGATAAAAGGATATATGACAGTATAGCCCTGCTTGCGATCGAGATATCTGACAAGTCCGAGAATAAAGTAAAGTATATCCTTTATTCACAATCTAATAATACAATAAAGAACAGTGTGATTTCATATCCCGCTAGTACAAAGTAACTTGTAAATAAAACAAATTGTACAAGCTACCATCGATTCCACATTCAAAAAGCAGAAAGTTACTAATATTGATTCCAGACCAAAATAGATCATAGCAAAGCCAGATTGAAGATCAGCTACATAGTCTTCCTTTTGACATTAATTGTTCCTTTTTGGCTGAATGAAAACCCCCACTTTTGCTATAAAATAGAACGCAGCCTGTAACATTGCTACTGGTTTTGTAGCAAATGAACTGGTAGAAGAATGAGTATACTAATTTGCTGAACCAATGAAAGAGCTATTGTCGGATGCCACAAAGGGAGCCAATGTAGCTCATGCTTGGAAATGGCAGCCTGTTTCACCACTAGCCTTTTTCTCCACTTTCCAGCTGAAAACTGTGGTTCATGACTGAATTATATGCAGGGGTAACCTCACACTGATCCTTAAGTCAATAGGTCATACCATGACCTTAAAATTTAGTCCCACAGTATAAGTATTGCCCCCAGCTCAGATCAAGTGGCAATGTTGCTCATACTTTATTCTAATTGTTTTTATTTATTTACCAAAAATCTTTCGTAGGTGTTGAACAATAGCATGTCATGAAGACCTCAGATTCTCTTCAAGACATTGGTATGCAATTTGCAGACACAATCACAAGGATAAAGGTAAATCTGCAAAAAAGCTGCATTAAAGTTTTGTTTTCTAGCTGACACAAGTACCATAGTGTCCCTGCCTCTTGATATAATTTTAATTAGTTTTACTGTTTTTATAAATTTGAATAAATGTTACGTTACCAATTTATTACTATTTGATATGGAAATCACAGTAAATTTACAATTGGTCCCACTTAAGTACCATCTTGATCTTCAAGTTTGTCAAATTTCCAAATATTTCAGCAATGCCAGCCGATGTGGGTAGATCTCCACAAGAAGAGTGTGGTCCTACATGATCGACTGAAGATGACCTGTTCCAGCTACAGCGACTACTTGGACTGTTTTCAGCGAGTCATTGATGTGTCCCAACAGCAGGATGGTGAGTAAAAATTACAAATTCCAATTTTCAACAGTATTATAAAATTAACTCTAGCAAACATTACCAATATATTGTTTGAACCAGTGATGTGAACCATGTAAAACAATGTAATAAACATTTTCAAAGAAGCTCCACTTCACTTCAGCCTACATATCTCTGAAGAATATGCTGCGCTGATACATGCTCCACATACCTCTGTTCATTCAGAGATTCCTGTTAATTAAATATCCCACATATCCCATGAGTATGTCGTGAACCTTGATAAGGATAATACCCTCGGGATTAGGTAATCTAACTTCTGTCCTCTTATATCTAGCGTATCCTACGGCCTAAGTATCACTGTACTTGGTTAATTATAAGTGATGTAGCATATTATAACAGTATCTAAGTGTTGTGTCGCATAATATAATGAGTAAACTTCAATACAATGTGTGAATTATCATGTTCAAACACCGACGATATCATTTAATAACGTTGAGGTAACATGTCAATATCAATATTACTCCTTACATGAAATAATGATCATGAACTCATCCAATCTTGATTAAATGGCGGTGGTTCCATTCAGTTAATTGGCCCCCAGGGCTGTGCAATGTTATAAATCATGTAGGATATTACTTGTGCAATGGTATAAATCATGTAGTATATTACTTTTGAAGGCTGCTTGTAACCTTTACAAGTATTTTAGTGAGTCAGGATTAATGGTTTAGTTTAAGAGTGTATTGTCTATCATGGTATGTTGCTGTGAGCTGAGAGTAATTAATATGTTGTGGTGATTTTTGTAAATGAATTAAAATTTGTCTCGAAGAACTATTCTGTTCCAGAAAGTATAAATTCCAGAAAGTAGAGTAATTGCAAAAAATCTTAATTGCTCCCAACTTACTATCTGGCTACTATTTTACCACATAATAGATTAGACTGCTGTGTTAACATGTACTGAACAATGTAATATTAATATAAGATAATGAAGTAAATAACTGTTAGTTATTCTGGTTATTTTACCGAGTTGAAACTCTTAGGAACTATGTTTTGATTTAGCGCTGACAGTACTGAAATTTGTTGGAAATTTTCCCGCAACTTTAAGCCGAACACTGAAGTATTGATATATTAAAACCATACAATGATATAAGCAATAACTGTCTTAATTATAATATAAATTTTGACTATAACTTATTGGCTAAATATAGCGGAGTTGGACAATTTTTGCTACTACTTGATTTAGCGCTGACAGTTAGGAAACTGTGTACTTTGCTCTGAATTTTTAGCTACTATCTCACAACGGGAAATAGAAAGCTACGGTCCTTATAAAGTAATAAAATACTTGATTACATGACTTGTTTATTACTATTTATATCTGTACTATAATATTACTTACTCGCTAATTACAACAAAGTTAGGCAGTACTTGCTGATTGTATACCAGGATATAATAATGCACTGGGCTTGCACACTTCAACTAGTTGATCAACTTCACCAAGTCATTAGCAGCTATAACTCCGTTTAATAGCTACTCCGTTTTAGATATTACTGTCATATTATGTAGTCATATATTACTGTCATTACATGTGATTTGTAGTGTCAAGTGTGAGAATCAGTGTTCTGGTAATCATGATTACAGGTCTATTAGTGATATGGTAACCTGGTAACCTGGTAACCTGGTAAAGTGATGTGAAGGATGTTTCAGAACGTTTTGGCGCCACATTTTCTGAGAGGTAGCTGTTGTAATCACTTTTCTGTTGTAAGTTTTAAAGAAAACTGCAATATCTGCAGGTAGTATTACATATGGTACATTGCTTCTGAATTACAATTCGACAAGTATAAAATTACTGCAAGTACTTGTGCTGAGTCTGCTACAATAGACGATATTACAAGGTGTAAATATTCTTACTCAATTTACTTTACTTATAAAGAACATTTTGCCGTAAATAATATGTAACTATATTTAGTTTATTCGACTGAAATTTTACTGGGCTGCATATATAAAAGATTGCAACTGTTGTTACTTTTTAGAGCATGAAATACTTAAGTTGATGATTGTTTTGCTGTAGAAATAGAAATCAGGCTTCTCACAGTGAGCTCTACTTCAGGTAATGAAGTTTGGGGAATGTTCAAAATTGGACCATAGCCAGGGCCAGCTCTCCAAAATAACAAATAATCTAATTTGAAATGATCCCAGGGATCAAAATAACCCCTGTGAGCGAAGATTGATAATTATAAGAAATTGTTGTTCAACTTTACGTCTGAAATATAAAATATGAAATCACGATTTATTGGTGTATTCTCTGCTCGGTTACATTACAACGTGCTTAATAGGTTTTTTGTGTGATAAACTTATAATGTTTAAAAGTGTATGATGATATGAACTTAACATTGTCAGGCCAAATTATATTACGCATATTTAGCTCCACAGCTGGTAGTTATTAATTACTCAAAACTTATAAATAGATTACTTCAAACTTAAAATAGAGCCGCAAATATTTAGTAGAAGACGTAATCTAACCACGAATAATCTTGCAGCCACAATAAACAACGCCAACGTTTTCCTTGGACAAGTTTAGACGCAAATTAAGTTTTGATTCTGAGCTAAGAAAAGTTGCCTTGTTCAGCGAGAAAAATTAGGTAATTATTAGGTAATTAGGAAACCCGTTACCAACTTTAGAACTAGCAAGTTACCACAGCTAATATAATCACAGTTACAAAGTGCTAGATCTATTATTAAAAGCAATGTATCTCCAGCCTGAATATCACATGTTACTCCTTTTAGTCTGTCCCTATTCACCACACTAGAATAGAGCTGAATATTGTTGATATTTCTAATGACTCAGAAATAAATGATACCCATAAATATCCGAGATGTTGCTTCACACCATGACTATAAGGCCCTTTGACATGTAGATTGTAGGGTTGTAATAATGTTACAGTGTTATAAGAGAACAGTGTTACAAGCTTGATGGTGTCCGTGATGAGGAACTCCAATATGATCAACACCAGTAACACCACGTGGAAAGAATTGTGAAATTATGACCATATTAGGAATAATGAGTTGTTTCCACACCACACTACTCTCTTCACAACACTATGCCCTTATATGGGCATCAGCCATCACGTGTCACACTGCGTGTGGGGGGCGGCACACACTTTAAATACGTGTTACAAGACAGTGCGGAGCTCCTTTCAGTGTAGCTATTCAGTGTGGTGGTCCAGTTTACTTCACAACTATAGTTGTGAAGTAAACTTGTGAAGTAAACACTATAGATAGTGTACTTGTGTAGTGTGGTGCACAGAATACTAGCATTGTACTGAGACGTGGGGGGGGGGGGGGGGACTGAGATTCTTTTACAACGACTGTGTGGTGCACATTACTGTACACTACAGTACAGATAATATTGTAGCTAATGATGATTAATACCTACATCTGAACCTTATCCTATGATTTGTATCCAGAAGCCCCTGGTCCTCCAACTGCATAAAGTGTGGAAGTTGCTGCACAGGTCAGCTCAATGTATTATAGTGCAACTCACTTTGGTGGTGAAATCAAGTTTAGTGGCAGACTTTATAACAATTAGTGGTGAAGTTAACAAGTACTAAGTAGTGTGGTGCACATTCCGCTGAACTACACATGTAGATTGTAGTGTCACTGCATCACAACGTCTTCAAGGGAGAAAGAATCGACTGGAAATCCGGTTCGGTTTCCGGCTTACTTGTTTTGGTTTGGTTCGGGTATGAAAAAGATAATATGTTTTGACAGGTAGCTTTTTCTCCCGTAACAGTGCGGTTTGACATGTGTAACAGTGCACAGGTCTCTTCCTTTTATTTAAAAACCTTAGTTCTCGCTCTAATTCCCCAAAACCACCTTTACTCACCACAATTAACCGTGAAACATAGCGGAAGTTAAGTTTGAAGACGGTTCAGTTTATATAGAGTACAGTTTCTCTCATCTCCATTTACCAGATATGACAGAAGATAGTGTAGAGTCTACACTATAGACTACAGTCTACACTGTAGACTGTATATAACACCTTGCTGAGGTCTATAAGCTGATATATAAAAAGGTGTAACACTGTCTGTATTGTGCAGTAGACCTCCTGGAAATAGGCCTGGTCAACCAAGAATTACATCAGTTTACACTACGAGAACATTATTACCCATTATTACCGAATTATTACCGAATTATTACCCATTATTACCCATTATTCAACTTCACGGTAAATGGAGGGTGTTCTGTATTTATAAACGTGTTCTTACATGTGGTTGTACGCCCACGCAATGCAATGAATATAGTGGCTAACTGTACGTGTGTGAGCTGAGTTGCTCTGATGAAACTTCTAGAACGTACAGTTTTGGGTGGTTTTTAGGTTGGGAATGTACGCCCTGTACGGTTGGATTATAACAGTTCAGGTACAAGTCAACAATTGCAACAATTTGCAATTGTTCCAATTAGTCTAACACCATGCTCTGTGGTACTAACAGTGTTAGTCTAACACCGTGCTCTGTGGTACTAACAGTGTTAGTCTAACACCATGCTCTGTGGTACTAACAGTGTTAGTCTAACACCGTGCTCTGTGGTACTAACAGTGTTAGTCTAACACCGTGCTCTGTGGTACTAACAGTGTTAGTCTAACACCGTGCTCTGTGGTACTAACAGTGTTAGTCTAACACCGTGCTCTGTGGTACTAACAGTGTTAGTCTAACACCGTGCTCTGTGGTACTAACAGTGTTAGTCTAACACCGTGCTCTGTGGTACTAACAGTTTTAGTCTAACACCGTGCTCTGTGGTACTAACAGTTTTAGTCTAACACCATGCTCTGTGGTACTAACAGTGTTAGTCTAACACCATGCTCTGTGGTACTAACAGTGTTAGTATAACACCGTGCTCTGTGGTACTAACAGTGTTAGTCTAACACCATGCTCTGTGGTACTAACAGTGTTAGTCTAACACCGTGCTCTGTGGTACTAACAGTGTTAGTCTAACACCGTGCTCTGTGGTACTAACAGTGTTAG